GAGGAGGTGGTTTTGCGCCGCGTGGATCAAGCGGGATCGCGAGGAGCGAGATGCGAAGCACGACCGCCGACGTTGCATAACCACTGCGCCCGCGGGGCCACCGCGACGCAACCGCGGCGAAACCACCGGCCCTCTTAAAAAGGCCCGCCGCGCAACAATATTCCTTGCTGGGCGCCTCTACAGCTCCGCGAGGTAGAGCGCCAGCGTGTGCAGCAGGGCGAGGTTGGCAGGGTCCTCCGGGCCGACCGCTGAGACCAGGCACGCGCTCGCGACCACCATTCCGCCGGGCGGGCCCCCGGCCAGGTGCGCTGCCACCGGCCTGCCAGGCGCCGGGGCGCCCGTCTGCCCGCGCTTCCAGCCGCCGCTCGGCGCGGGCGCGGCACGGGCCCCGACGTCGCTGCGGGCCAGGACCGCCACTCCACCGCTTGTGCCGCCGCGCCCGGCCCTCTCCACGGCCGCCAACACCCCGCGCCAACCCAAGTCCTGCAGGTCGCAGCCGCTTCGCCGTCGCGCGGTGCTCCTGCGCGGCCGCCACGAAGCGCCCGTCGCACGTCGCCACGAGCAGGTTCCTCAGCGGCGCCGCGTTGTCGCCGATGGCCGCCGTTATCAGGCCGCGCGCCCGCGCGGGCCGACGGACGGCCTCCTGTCCTGCAGCGGCGTCCGCAGCAGCTTGCGCCACCTCCGCCGCGCCTGCAGCCTCCTCGCGCACATGCACGGCGTCCCGCGCGCCTCCTTCCGCGGCGCGCCGCCCTGCAGCCCGCGCGCGCCCGTCCTCGGGCGCTCGCGGGCGGGGGGCCGCGAGCGAGGGGGGCCTCGCGCTCTCACCTTTCGCCTGTTCATCCTGAAGTGCCCGCGGCAGCGTGGCGCTAGTCGCCAACGGACCTGCCCTGCGATTACATATGGTGGGCTGGCTAGGCGCAGAGCTACTGGTCCCTGCCCGGGACCCCAGGTCGACGAGTCGGTCGGCCCTCAGGCCAGCGCGCTGCTCGCCAGCGCCGGCTCGATCGCCGCCGCTGGCCGCCGACGCCCCCAGGGGCAATTTATCGCAGGTTGCGCCGCAACTGCCTGACCCACATCGCGTGCCTTGGGGGGGCGCTCCCAGCGGGACTGGCCCCCCCAGGCCGCGCCGCCCGCTGCCGTTCGGGTCGAAGGGCACCTCCGACACCGCCGCGAGCCCAGCTGCGCCAGCAAAGCCGGAGGTATATAAGGAGAGCAAAGTACCTCCTCTTCCTGGGCCGCCCAGGGCCCCCCCTGGCGGCCCCGGCGGCGGGCCCGGCGGCCCCCTTTGCCGCCCCTCAGCGCGGCCGGCGGCCCAGACGGCCTCCTCCGCGGCCCCGGCGGCGGCCTGCGGGTGCTCCTGCGGCGCGGCCTCGCGCGCGACGTCCGCGCCGCGCTCGCCATTGAGAGCCCCCAGCGCCGCCGCCGCGGCCTCGGGGCGCTGGCCAACGCGGCCACCTGCGCCGCCCTCCTCGCCTGGGCGCCCGACCACCGCCTTCGGCCGCGCGCCATTTTCCTCCATGATTCGGATCATTTCGCCGTGCAGTGCAGCTCCTGCACCAGCGCCTCCGCCGACCGGGCACCCCGTCCCCGTCCTTCATGCAGTCGCTTATCGTCGTGGCGACCGCGCTGTCAGCACGGCCCAGCTGCGGGCTGCTGGCTGCGGATGGCGCGGACGGCAGCCAGCTTAGCATCAACGTTGCCGCCGGCCTGAGCAGCGGCGCCCGCCGCGTCCAGCTCCGCGTCCAGCTCGTCGACGGACATCGTGCTGACGTCAGGCGCGGCGCCGCCACCAGCGCCACCATGGGGCCATCGTGGGGCAGGGGCTGCTCTGGCGCGCGGGCTGGCCAGGCCCCGCCGGTGGCGCGGCCGCATCGCCGGCCGCTCCGCCGCCAGGGTCGCCCGCAGGCTTGCCGGGCGCCGCGGCGGCCGCCGCGACCCTGATGCACTGCCCCCGCCGTGCGACGACCTGTGGCGCGAATGCGGCGGCCGCCGCCTGCCCCATGCCGAGGTCCAGCAGCAGGGCGGCGAGCTTGGCAGGGTCGGCCTCGAATGCCGCCGACGGCGTCACCGTCGCGTCCGACGGGGCCGTCGCCTGCGTTGTGGCCAGCGAGTGCAGCTCGGCCGTCAGCTCCAGCCGCTCCGTCTGCTGCTTCGCCAGCGCCTCCGCCGCCTCGTCCCGCAGCCTGATCGCCGTGGCGATGCGCTCCTCGCGCCGCTTGAGGCGGGCCGCCTGCTCGGCGATGGCGGTATCGAGGCGGCGCTGCTTCTCCACGACATCCTGGACAAACGCAGAGGAGGGCTTGCTGACAACGAGGCGCCTCTTGGCTTCGGCGACCTTGCAGCGCACATCCTCCAATGCCGTCGCGCGCCAGGCAAAGTCGCACTCGATGTCCATCTTCTCGTGCTGCCGCGCCGTCTCCTCATACTTCCTGATGCGCACCCGCAGCTCGCCGTCACTGAGCTTGTCGAACTCCGTGCCGCCGCTGTGGCCGTCGTGCGCAGCACCTGTGCCCTCCGCAGCCATCGCGCCGCCTGCGGCTTTGCCCGCCTCGAGCAGCTGCACCTGGCGCTGCAGCTTCGCGATGGTCTCGTCCTTGCTGCCCTTGCTCCTTGCCTCCATGATGCGCCACGGGAAGGTCTCGGCGCCGCGCTGGCGGGCCTTCGAGACCGAGGGCGCGGGCGGCTCGACGTTGGCGCCGAAAGCGATACCTCTGCGCCTTCCGCACTCCCTCATGAGGACATCGGAGCTTCGTTCCACCACGGCTTCCCAGTCGTCGGATGCGTACAGAACCTGTACGTCCACTTGCAAGCACCATCGCGTCGGGACCCGCTACTGAAGTTCTCCCCGAGCCGAGAGGGGAGCGAGCAAAGCGGAACGGTGCTCTGGCACCGTTCTCCACACCAGGGGCGGACCTGGCGGAGGTGACGGGGGTCTGGCCGCGGACTAGCGGTATCCACTTTTTTCCCATGGGAAACAGGCTACGGAGGGAGGAGGAGGAGGAGGAGGAGGAGGAGGAGGAGGAGGAGGAAAAGTACGTACGTTTGGCGCTGTCTCTTCAAATCGAGGACCGAACACCACAGGATGGTTTGAAAAAAAAACACATCCTCGGGCGTGCTCGCCCCGCTTCGGGCCGGCCTGCAGCCGGGGCCCTCCGCGGGTCGATCTGGCCCGAGGCGCGCGCTGCAGAAGGGTGGGGCCGGGAGCCTCTCGGCGGCCAGTTTTCCACGGCGTTGCAGATTTTGTCCACGGCGCCTCGATCTCGGGGATTGTGCACCGGCGCTGGAGTTTCCTGGCCTTGGTGCACCAGTTTCCGGGCCCAGGGTCGGAGTGTAATCACACCGCCCAGGCCTCGCCAGGAAGGCGGATGCCCCGATCCCTGGCCCAGGATTGGTGTCCCGGCCGAGGTCGGTTTCGACGTAATGATTTGGGGCTCTGGCAGGCGATGGCGTCCCCGCCTTTGAGTTTGGGCCGCCCTCCGAGAAGAGGATCCACCTCCACTGGGACTGCGCGGACGAAGGGACGCATGGCGGACTCTTCGAGTATGCGCTGGTCACCCTGTGGTTTGACGCAGGCTCCTTCCTAGCCCGTGCTTCGAGCCACGCGGAGCACCGGTCGGCAGTGGAAGAGGTGACCGCGAAGGACGAGGTGTGGCACCTGCGAGGCGGGCTCGACTTCTGCGCACCCATCGCGCTCTGCCTGCACGAGCTCCAGGACATGCGGGGTATGACGCGGACCCGCCGCGACGTCCACTGGTGGCGGCGGCGCGCGAACCTGAGCGAGGGGCGCGCGGGCCACTTCCTCTGCTCCGCCCTGCTGTGGACCTTCCTGGGCAGGAGCCTCGGCCTGACGAGGGCCCTGGCCTCGCTGCCGCCCCCCACCCCCGCGGAGTGCACCGCGTCGTTTGCGGACGTCGCGCTGGCGTGGCGGGCCCACACGGCACCCACCCCGCTCTGGCCGCGCCCGCGTCCCGCGCTGGCCGTCTGCATCCAGGGCGGCGTGCGCACCTTCACCCGCCCGGAGGTGCACGAGTCCATCCGGCGCAACCTCGTGCTCCCGGCGGCCGCCAGCCTCACGCGGGTCTTCTACGTGCTCAACTCGACGTCCGACACGTGCACTTGGTGCGAGCGCAACGAGGTGCGGAGCTTCGGGCTCGCGGAGCTCGTTCCCGCCATGGAGGCCATCGGCCGCGGCCTCACGGCGTCCATCGTTCTGGAGCCGGGCTGCTGCTGGCCAGCCCTCTCGCCGGGGCTGGCCTACTCGGACTGCTTCTGGGACAACATCGCCGCCCCCGTGCAAGCCAGGGGCAAGCTCGAGGGAAGAAACCCGCTGACCATGACCCAGATGTCGCGGGGTCTTGCCGACGCTGGTCTCGGTCATGGTCTACGTATGCCGGCCGTCGCCGATTCGCGAGGATGGTCCACGAATCGTTGAGGTTTTATCCTTCAATCTTGGTTGTGGTCATCGTTTTCTTTCCCTCCGCAAGCAGATGTGCGCGAGCCAGATTGCCGCCCACGAGCACGCGTACGGCACCGAATTCGACTTCGTGCTGTGGGCGCGGCCAGACCTGGTGTGGAGGTTTCCCCTCGGCGACCTACGGGCCTTCTCGAAGGACCACGTCCACGCCTCCTACGCGCAGCACCTGGAGCTGTCCGACCTGTTCGCGCTGGTCCCGCGAAGGTTCTTCGACGTGTATGCTAAGGCGTACCAGGATTTGCAAGCCTCTGGATATAGGTTCCGCTGCCTGACGCGCGCTGATCACGAGCGGGCGTCCGCGGGCAAGGTCTGCGACTACCCTGGGATCGGCCACTGCTGGCGCTGCGGTTTCGGCAGCATCGGCTGCCTGCTGCAGCATCACCTCATCGCGCACGGCATCCCGCTGCGCAGGATTCCGTTCGAGATCGTGGACAGGCCAGACAGGGCGAGGGAGGTCCCGCTGCCGCTGCGTTCGGCAAAGAAAAAGGTGGGCGGGAATGGGAATGGAAGACGACGATGTGGGTGA